TGAGAGGGGGGTATCGATCCAATCGGAAAAAAAAACGCATTAGACTCCGATCAGAAGAAAAACGGATGTAATCAAATGGAGGTAAATGCATGCGAACATGGTTCGTGTGTGTGTGTGTGTATGTGTGTGTTGTAAGCCAGGAAGAAGATGGTCTCCCTAGTTTCATGGAGAGGAGGGTGTACATGACTGTACAAAAAACACCGGGAGGTGAGTTGTTGCCGGGCTAATTTTCATGCTCAAGCTCATCAGGGGCCGCTCGGGGAAGGATGGCGGGTTTAGCATTCGACAGGCGTTGCGCGTCCCCCGCGGTGGAGACGTGCTCTTCGTCTTCTTCACCGCCGTCCTCTTCCTCTTCTTCGTCCTCACCATCTTCCTCTTCCTCCTCTTCATCTTCCTCTTCTTCGTCCTCCTCGGGTTCCTCCTCTTCAGCGACCACGTGGGCCGGTCCGTCACTTGTGTCCGTGGCTTGACGATGTGAGTCACCAGGAGCCACCGTTACACAGCTGGGTTCTATATCCTCGTCCTCCTCAACTCGAGCACGCTTGGTTGCGACGTAAATACCTGCCTTGTACTTTTGCATGTCCTGAAACGCGCAAAGGAGGAGAAACATGAATTGCTTATCTACCAAATGTGCGGATACACCAAGACAGTATACATATGTGTCACAGCATCCGCTAAAGGACAAATAGAAATTTTTCAGCTGTAGCACCCTTTCAGTGCCCAACTGCCATGCCACCCAAAGGTTGCACGAGGGCTGGGATACTGCCAGGTTGCCCAAGCCTAGATAGGGGAAGTCGAGAGGCATAGGTCGGGTTCGAACCACAGATCTTCCGGTCAGTAAATTCGCGCTCTAACCACTTGGGCCATCTCGCCCCCACAGTGGGAACTGACACACAGACCATTAGTAATTCCCCAACCGACGTAAACACGACGTACCTGTTCGTATCGCAGCTTGTCATTTTGTGCATGACGTTCGTACTTTTCTTTGTCTGTACACTCTTCCCATCTGCGACCCAGCTCCTTGGCAATGTCACTCACTTTCCAGTCTGGATGTTCGTTGCGAATTTTCGATCGGAAAGCATCACAAAAGAAAAAGAACGCGGACCAGGAACGTTTTGGCATGGCTGGGTCTTTGGTACGTCTTCGACGTCGCCCCCTACGCATCCCCGCCGGCGGAACATAGTGCGCCATCTCTCGATTGAACCGATCCAGATCCAACTTGGCCATTTCTTCGAAGCATCTTCGTTGTTCGTTGGACATTTGCTAAAACGACCGAGAGTGATAATAAAAAAAAGAGATCGACTTACCTTCCATTTCTCGGCACATTTCTTGGAGAATTCACTGAATATTACATTCTCATTAGGGTGCTTTTTCCGATGTTCTTCGCGAATCACTTGAACGAAACAAGCATAGGCCGACATTGGGTGCTTTGGGCGATTTTTGTCTTTGACCATCATAGTTGCATCACAGCTAAAAAGTAATTACATCAGAAGGTCATAAAATAAAAGGAAAGTATCGTTGTGTGTCTCACGGGAGTGTTTCACCACCCATTGATCTGCATGAACAATACTACATCGGCAAACTAGTGATGGCATTGGCACTCAACTAGTGCATAATGCGGTGAAGAGAAAGCCTTGCATGCGATAAACAGCTGATTTCTTCAGCAGAATGTGGAACTGCACCCAATCAAAAACTCAAAATCCGATTGAGCTGTTCGGTTCGAAACAACTGGGGAAATGAGGCTTGGATGCGACCACCGTATAGCGTACCAGCAGGGGTTGAATAGTCCCCCAGAAAGTAGCAGATGGACGATACGGATAGAAAATGACAACACAAACGTTACTGACTTTAGGCAGAAGCCACGCTTTGCAAGCTCTCCAGAGGCATAAGGAAGACTACGATGAACCTGTCCTAGAAAGCTGGCCGCGAAAGATGATATTTTCATCCGGATTAGGAAGGCCATAACAGCTTTTGTGAACCTACGTCACCTGTAGCGTGGGCGTGACACCAGCTTCTCTGTCGAGGGTCGAGTTTACAATGCTGCGGTGCGCTACATATTACTATACGGATCACGAACCTGGCCGCTGCGCGCCGAGGACGTCAAAAGAATTTCAGTGTTTGACCATCGATGTCTTCGGAGCATTGCCCGAGTCTGGTGGGAACACCGGATCAGCAATGCTGAGGTACGTCGAATGGTATTCGGGAGAAATAACTCACCAGCGATAGATGAACTGATCACACTGTATAGGTTGCCCTGGCTTGGCCACGTGCTCCGTATGCCATCGACTGACTTCCTCGAAGAGTTTTTTCGCGCAACCAAGTAAAGGGTGGAAGAGAGCCAGAGACGGCCAAACAATGACTTGGCAACGGAGTATATAAGCCATTACCGGCAAACTCAGCTGCGCTGGTCATTGCCGTCTTCCTGGATGGGGACCCTGAGACGGGCCACATCAATGGTTGAAGACATTGTCAGACATGGCCCACTCGTGCCCTCAGTAGCGCTCTGCATCCAAGCTATTGGCTTCAATGTATAGCTCCCTCCCCTATTTCCCCACTTGACAGTCCACCTACAGTGTATATTTACGCACTAATTTATCAGCTCCCGCATCTAATACGCATCTAACTACCCCACCTCCCAGAATCATCGGTGAACGAAACTGTGGCAACTACAACCACTGTACGACGAGTACGCGGTTATTACAACTGACAATGATGATGAATATCATAATGAGAAAGCTGGCCGCACCGACAGTTCATAGCAGTTTTCAAAACTTCCGGTCAGTTCAACTGCTGCCCCAGACTGGATAAGGCACGGAAGGCACCAAATGATTCGACATGTGCTGAAAAGGGACCGATGTTCTGGTGAGTGTACCTCTATAACCTGGTGGACTATAGTAGGGTGGCTTCACTGTGATACCCATACAGTGTCTTAGATTAGGCTGACCAGTAGAGGGAGTTCTGAAGAACACGGTTCCTGTTTCTCCATGAGAACCAGTGACTCACCCTTCCCCAGAGAAAACGTGTGCTACGTTGGTAGCATACTACCACTGTCCAGCGGCCTTGCGGTCAGGCATTCCAGCAAAAGGTTGTGTTAGACGAATCTAATCGCCTCCTATCTAGGTACGAATATCCACGCCGGGTCCCAACCAAAATCTCACAACTAACAATTCTATCAGGCCACAATGCTGGTCGCGTGATGCCATTAGCCGGGAAGCCTAACATGCTGCATTCAACAAAGCGGGAAAGCGAAAAAAACCTCATGCTGATGCCCACATTCTTCCTCTCTAATGTTCTTTCTCAACTCTTCTCCACTCACGTAATAACTTTCCTCTTGTAGGCCCTGCATCGGCCCCTGAAGTAACATCTGCGGATCGGTCAGAGCCAGAGGCCCCAGACATCTCGAAAACAATCTTAGAATGATGCCCGGACGCTATTACTGTCCGCACCATGAAGCAAAGTGGACAACAAGCTGCTCTTGGTCCCACACTGCACTCGCTTGATATTGATGTGCTGTGTATTTGAAACAAGAATTCAAGATGCAAGCACAGTGGTTGAGCTAAGTGCCACACCACTCTCTGCTCACTTCCGGCTACGCAACTCTGCTGATCAAGAGGCTGCTGAGGCAGGATGTGCAGGGGTTGGTGTCGTCCCAAGTCATCGAGCGGGATTGTCCTTACTCGACTGGATACCCATTGATAGTCGTTTCTGTATATTGCCTATCGATCGGCTGTAACATCTTTTTGGTACCTAGCTGCTAATCCATCCGAAGGATGTCTATGCCTGAGCATAGACAGAGGAAGTCGATGTGCAGAGACCGGGTTCGAACCACGGACCTTCAGATCAGTGAATTCGCTCTCAAATCACTAAACCATCTCGTCTCTATGAAGTTCGTCTGGCAACGTCTGTAAAGGAATCTCACAAACGGGAATTCGATCGGTGTCTGCTTGTCGCATCCGCTTACGCCCCAACCGCCTGTCGCTCTGACACCATCGAAGACAAGTTTCACGACACCTTGAATGTCCTATTACAGCGAACTAAAAGCACAGATATCGTTGTGGCTACCAGCGATCCGGATGTACGGGAGGAACTCATTTAGGTGGTCCACATACATTGAATCTGGTATGTGCGGACAATAGCAGGCAACTACTTTAGCTACCTGCTAACCGCAGGCTGTTTCTATTAGTGCTAACTTCCAGATTAGGCGAATTCGTCTGATCACATGGTGTACTCTAACGGCTTTCCAGTCACGCACCAAAACCGATCACATCATAATGAGTTACCGGTGATGCGGATCAATGGCTGATTGCTCCTCGTACTGGGACGCCTGTGTGGATTCTGATCATGCACTTGTCCAGTCGTTTCCCGTTTTACTTTCCGGAACTTGACCTGAGTCGTGATGAGACTCATGCGTCACTTTTCCTTCGTCGTCTGACAGTGGCTCGTGAAACACTGACTCGAGCCATAGCGAAAGCCTTCTCCATCTCCTGGGCCATCAAAACGCACCAGAGTTCTCATTGTTCAAGCTCGTGATTATCCCATATTTGAGGGACCCACGTGCGTCATCACAGTTCCTGTTTGCAGTTACGGCCTATCTGACAGCAATAAGATCTGCTGATCTTGACGATATCCAGTGTTCATTTAGTCGATTCAAATCACCATGGACGGCGTCGGAGCTGCAGTCAGTTGGGGGCGTAGGCAGACACAATAAACAGACACCGATCGACTTCCCGCTTGTGAGACTTCTTCACAGAAGTCGCCGGACGGAGCACACAGAGGCGACTATCAACAGATGTCCAGTCAAGCAAGGATAATTCCGCTCGATGACTTAGGACGATACCAACCCCTGCACATCCTGCCTCAGCAGCCTCTGGATCGGCAGAGATGCGTAGCCGGAAGCCAGTAGAGTGCTGTGGCACTTAGCTCAACCACTGTGCTTGAATCTTGAATTCTTACTTCAAATACACAGCACATCAATGTCAACCCGACCTAAAGCTGCCACCTTGACGTGGTGGTCGGGCTTCATGCTGCAATGATCCCGCGGGCTACACTGGCTGGAACTTCGTTCCACAAGGTGCAACCATGCCAGGAAGGCCAAAGGGGAGCAGCCAGACCAAGAGCAGCGAGACCCCGTACTACGAGTAATCGTGCTAC